TACATCCATCTAGGCCATGAACTGCCAGCTTCTCCAGGAGAATGCTATGGGAGACTGTGTTGAAGGCGTTGCTGAAGTCCAGGTATACAACATCCACAGCCTTTCCCTCATCTACCAGGCAGGTTACCTGGTCGTAGAAGGAAATCAGGTTGGTTAGGCAAGACCTGCCTTTCATGAACCCATGCTGACTGGGCCTGATCCCCTGATTGTCCTCCGTGTCCCTGGTGAGCACCCTCAAGATGAACCTCTCCATAATCTTCCCTGGTACTGAGGTCAGGCTGACAGGTCTGTAGTTACACGGATCCTCCTTCTGGCCCTTCTTGAAGATTGGCATCACATTTGCCAACCTCCAGTCATCTGGGACCTGCCCTGTTATCCAGGACTGCTGATAAATGATAGAGAGTGGCTTGGCAAGCTCCTCTGCCAGCTCCTTCAGCACTCTTGGGTGGATCCCATCCGGCCTGGCCCCTAAAGGAGCAGCCACCCCTGGGGGAGGCTCATCCTTCCATACAGCTGAGGCGGGGCGCAGAATGCCAGCGCATGGCGGCGGCGGCGCACCCCAATGCTGGGCCTTCCCCGTCTGTACTGCGGTCAGCTGGCGATCAGGTGGCCGGTTATGAGTCTGGCTTAGACCTCCCGACTGTCCCTAAGTGCCAGAGGGGACCAAAGGCCATCCACATTTTGACTTTAGGCAGGTGGGTCACGCTGCTGCATGCCTCTGCGGGGCTTGGTGAGGGTACGTGGCTGAGCCGATGCTTGCATGCATTGGGCTTCCTTCTGTATGTGTGCCATGCACGTGGCTGTGCTTGCCCAGTGTGTCTCGGGCTTCCTGGTCATCCCGTGCAGTAAGTCCAGCCTCTCTGGAAAACCCATAGGCACATGTCCCTCTGCCGGGGAAATCTGTCTGGGCAGAAACCAGGAAGACAACACCTGCTGAATTGCTATGACCTACTTGCAGAACTCCTGTGATTTGATTTAATTTGACCCTAGCCAACACCTCCTTCAAAATTTCAAAGTACAGTTTGAGGAGGCATAAGCAGGCAGCTCTGATGGGTTACAGATGGGCTGTGACCTGACAGACACACGAGGGGATACATCTGCTTTAGACTCTCTGTGCCTGAGGCTGGAGGAGACTTTTCCCAGTCTTCCCATTCTTATTGTAGAGTACCACAGGTGCCTTCTGTAGAGTTTTACCCGCCCTTTCATGGACCAGAGATGTTCTGCTCAGTAATCTGTTTTCTAGTTGCTTATTACATTCCGTCGATCAACCTATCACTTCAGTGTCATGGCTACAATAATTTCACAGCATTCCTTTTGGCTAAAATATAGGTGGAAGGGGATGTAGGAGGTTGCACTGAGCTTTAGGTGTCATTGCTGGTGCCACAGTAGGGCTGCAAACACCACAATTCACATGCAGTGTGAATCCCTCTTCCTTGGCGTCATCTCTAAAAGGAGGCTGCTGCCTTAATTTCTAGCTTCCTTGCTATAGTTCTTCACCTTTCTAGTGCCTGGATGGCTGACTCCCAAACATGCTAGCTTCCAGGGCAACGCTTCTGCACAAGGCCTAGAGAAGTGCCTGGCATCCAGAGCCCGGGCAAAGACCACCCAGAGACCAGGGGAGGGAGGGTTAACCTCTTTGCTGACCAGTGCCAAATTTGTTTCAGAGCCCTGCAGCTTGCTTGCTGGTGCCAGCCCCAGCTCGTGATGACCAGCCTGGTGTCAGGGCCCATGGTTGACCATCCCTGGCTGAGGGGATCAGAGAGTGAAGAAGAGCAGACCTATGCATTGAATTCCTAAGACAATGTCAGGGTCTGAAGAGAGGAATGAAGGCCCAACTGAAAGGGGAATTTAGACAGGAGCTCAGGAATAACTGCAATGTTGGAGGTTGCAGTCACCTAAGCAAGCTAGCTGGACTCCCTCAGCTTCCTCTGTTGTCCATGAAGGCAGGTTCTCCCAAAGAACGATCCAGACCGCTAAATTTTGGATCTACTTGGATTTGCCCTCTGGAAGACCTGCTTTTTCTGCATTAGCTATAGAGGGGCTGGTGGAGACCTCCTTGGATAAAGTAGGAGTCCTAGTTGGTTGAGTGTGAATAATCCATCCCCAGGATTTCTGTGAATTATGGGCAGGTGTGACTGCCCGGTGCCCTGAACCTTGCCCAAAGCAAGTCACAAAGGTGACATGCAGTTGCAGAAGGGACTGTGGGTGGTAAGTATGCTCTTTTACTGAGCAGAAGAGAGAGAATTTGAACCTGCCTCTTACAGTAGTGACATGTTACCGTGCACTTTTGGTCTGTATAATTACAGAACACCTATTAGCTCCACAACTAGTCTCCAGGACTAAACATTCATGGGAGTTTTGCTGTTTGCTGCCACAAGACAAATGCTGTGACCTGTATATCAGCAATGTCAGCAATATGTGTTATGGTTATATCAATCTGTACATGAAATGGGGGTGGGGTGGCTGTCACTGCTTCTTAACACATGTAGGAAAGTTATTTCCTCCCTGCAATAATCACGTCCCACGTATACAACTCCTTCTATGTTCAGACCCTGCATCTTCAGCACTGGAAAGCAACGTATATTGTTTCTTTCTGTGGTGAAGATGGTCCTGAGATGCATGCAGGTGTGGAACATCTGTCCCATGTTATTAAAAAGTTTGAAAGAAATTAAGCCTCTGAGAAAAGAGATTTGAATCATAATGTTTCCCTACTTATGATGAGTGAAAATTGTGTATTTAATGTAGCCGTAGTTAGAGTACCACTGTGTGCCATAAGAAAACCTTTATAATACACAATCATAGAATCGTAGAATCGCTTTGTTTGGAAAAGAGCTTTAAGATCATCAAGTCCAACCTTTAACCTAACCCTGCCATCCCACCACTAAACCATGTCCCTAAGCACCTCATCTATCCTTCTTTTAAATATGAGAAAATTGTGGGACAAATCATGAAACAGGCCTTAAAAATCACTGTTTTGTAGGCTGAAAATTAATATTAAGTGACCAATATCCTGATATTTCCAGAATTACTTTTTTGGTTTCCCAAAATGCCAGTTGAATGATCCTCCCTTGTATGATAATGATGATTTGCCTCTCTTATATAATAATAGTCACTGTAATCTGATCACAAAACAATTAAAAATCAGCCATATGCTCTTATTTCAATTATTCACTTTTTTTTCTAGCATCACGGTGCTTAAAAATCATCATCTCCATTAGAATCGTATTGCGTTAGGTGCTGTATTTTGCTAAGAGTCCACCCTTACTTTCAAGAGGTGAACAGGGGAGGCAGGGAGGGAAGGGACAGGAGGCGGGAGTGACTTTGCCCGGAGGATGGAGTGGCAGAACTGAGAATGGAAACTGTGTCATAAATCTGTCCTGCCCGCTGGGCAGGACTGGCCCCTCCAGGAGCTCAAAAGTGAGCTGCTGGGCTGGCAGGGGGAAGGTCACAGCCCAAACTTCAGCCTGGGGTCTCCAGGAACCTTCGGGTACCTCTGGTGAGAAGTTATGCATTGCTATATTCTTGTAAAAAAAACCCAAAACATTTGTGTTGGTGGCAGCTTGCTTTCAAATTTTTCTTTAAGCTTTGCATTTCTCTGTCTCAGTCTTAATTTGTTGCTGAATGAATCAGGGATGGTAGGATTTCAGGATGAGTGCATTAAAGCTTTCTTTGATATTACAGAAATTGTTCTTCATGAATTGTTCATTTATTTTTGAAGCATCTGTACTCTCTTTCCTTAGAAGAGTTTTATGTGCATTTGCACAATGGAGCAATAGGTACTATTATGAGATTCTTGTGTAGACTTTAAGAAAAAGGTTTTTGTCATGTTTTTCTTTCACATTACTTCTTCTGCAGTGACACAGTTCTCTCGCAGTGCTTTGGGTTTTCTACTTCTTTCCCTAAAAATCATTTGTCTCCAGTGGAACAGCTAAGAGATCGGGGGAAAGAATCACAGAATCACAGAATGGCAAGGGTTGGAAGGGACCTCGGGAGATCATCTAGTCCAACCCTCCTGCTAAAGCAGGTTCACCCAGAGCAGGTTGCACAGGACATCGTCCAGGCGGGCTTTGAATATCTCCAGAGAAGGAGGCTCCACAACCCCCCTGGGCAGCCCGTTCCAGTGCTCTGTCACCCTCAAAGGAAAGAAGTTCTTCCTCATATTCAACTGAAACCTCTTATGCTTCAGTTTGTGCCCATTGCCCCTTGTCCTGTCGCTGGGCACCACTGAGAAGAGTCTGGCTCTGTCCTCGTGACATCCACCCTTGAGATACTTGTATGCGTTGATAAGGTCCCCTCTCAGTCTTCTCTTCTTCAGGCTGAACAAGCCCAACTCTCTCAGCCTTTCCTCATAGGGGAGATGCTCCAGTCCCCTCATCATCCTTGTTGCCCTCCTCTGGACTCCTTCTAGGAGTTCCTCATCTTTCTTGAACAGGGGAGAAGAATTAAAGGTTTTGGCTGCTGTTATCAACATAGAGAAGAGAATGGCCACAAGGTGGTAGCAGTCTGTAAGGGAGGGCCAGGAGATGCCTCTGAGCTTTGCTTATTGATCCAGAGAGGCAAATACTGCCTTCGTGCGTTATGCCTTACAATGGAGCATTTGCAGTGTTCAAGCAGAGTTCTTTTAGTTCTGTTTTTTGTTAACTTGTACTACTTCACTTGGAGGTAATCTTGTGTGAAGGGGATAACGGTATAGCATCTCTCTTGTCAGCTGTAAGGCCCCATAGGCTGGCAGCATGTCATTTGGCCGAGGATGCCAGGTGCAAATCCATTTTAAAATTGCCAGTGTAACCTCGCATCTGGGCTTGTGCACTGCTATGCCTGAGGCTCTGGCTGGCTGGTACAGTCCTTCTGCTTTTCCGCCTCTCCTAAGGGCATCCAGAATAGCACAGACCCAGGCTGCAAAGCGCTGACCTCCTGCGTACTCCTTCTGCCAGCTTGGTTCTGTTCAGAGTAATGTAATGGGTTAACTTCATATGGCCTGGCTTTGTGAGAGATCAGACATCATCCACCCTCCCAGGGCTGACATAAAGTTCGTGTTAATGGAAGACAACAGTGAAAACTCCATCATGTGCTCAGTCTGATTTGACAGAAATGCAGTCATATGCCCACACGTGATCAAGATTAAATTCATGCTGCTGAGTGATCTGGCAGTGTGCAAACCCCTGTTAATGCTCATGAAACCACAGTTTTGGGCAAAAAAATATGCTTTTACTTCTGCTGCTCCTGCTATGAGAGAAAAGAAGAGAAAGGGGAGCTTCTGGCAGATTACTGGGGCAGAAAGCTGCAGGGATCATTTTGGTCTGGGTTACAATTACCAGAAAAGATATAGGAAGATTGTTCTGTAAAGCTTATCATTGCAAATTCTGGGAGAATTTCATCCTTTCTTGATGCGTGGGAATTATGGGAAGGTGTGTGAGGACTGGCAGCGCTAGCCTATTTCTACTCTGTATCTGCTCTATGTCATAGCTGAGTGAAGTTTTTGTGTGTGAGCAGGGCTTAATATAAAGGCAACTTGAATGTTACGAGATTATAAGGTTAATTTAACTCTCCAGTGAAGAATAACCCTGCATTTCTTGCTGCACTTCTATGTACAAATGCTAATTGTGCTGTGAATAGCAAGTTTCATTTAGATGTGGTGCTCAGACGTGGATGCTCAGACACTTTTCAGCCTGCAGTTTAAATCTTTTAAAGCAAAAAGAAAAGGGTGTTAGTACTAGCATGGCCTCACATTCATCATCATTTGCTTACTGAGAGCCATAACCAACAGTCAGAATTGCTGTTTCCTGCGTGGACTCCATCTTTACTCTTGTGCAAGTTTTTTTCCTCAGTGTGAATGATTTAAACACCTATTCACTGCTCGGTAAGACTCTGTCCCTGGGGGCAAAGGAGGAATGAAAAAATGTCACTTAATGTTGCACAAAATGAAGTCATGGTTTTTATTAGGTCCCTTTCACCCATTGCAGCAAACATGCACATGTGCTTTAATTTTCTCTTGATTTCTTTAGAACTATTCTTAGTGATACAGTGAAACGTGCTTATGCTAAACATGCTACAGAGGAGCTTCAAAATAAATCATGTCCTGAACTGACCCGATTCTCTTTATTGTTGTTTTCCTGTGGCTGTGATATAGCTTATGGAGTGGTAAAATACAGCACTGAAGGTAATGGTTTAGTTTGTTTCTCTCTGATACAATCGTTGATACATTTTTCTATTTCTGACTTATTTTCCATGTATTCCTTTCATTGCACAATTCTCGAAGGTGCATCCTCCATTTTACAGAAAGCAAACTGAGAATATATATTCCAGCTACTTTTAGCTAAATAAAAATAATTTACTCTCTGGATACTTATGCAACCGGCTCACTTACGGGATTCAGCAAATCTCTGAATTTTTACAGGTATTTGAACAGCTCTTAGTCAAGCAAGCTCCTTTAAATCCAGTTATTTCCGCTTTGTTCTTTTCTGTTCTCTTCAGATATTTTCTTCTCTCAGGCCATCTCATGAGACCCACATCCCTAGCTGCCAATGCTGATTCTTGTGTCCATGCTTGAGTTTCTTTTTTTTTTTTTCTTTTCCCAGCTCCAACTTTAATATGTCTCCTGGGCTTTCTTTGAAGATTTCATCTGCAACTGCAAATAAACCCTTGTGTATCTCTGACGCTTCTATTTGGATTAAAAAGCCAAGCGACCTTGTTTTAAAGACTGAACAAAGAGCTCTTGAGGATACATGGAGATGGGTACTCGACACATACCTGAATTCAAACCTGGAGTACAGAAAAAGTAAACAAATTTTAAACATTTTTTCTGCCTTCACTATCAAATTGCTCTGAGCCTGTTGTAATGTTTAAGTTCCTTCCTGTGTTTACTGAGTTAAAAAGGAGTTCTGTAAATTCTTTTCTTTAGAGAGGGTGTATTTCTTTCCCATTTCCCCCCCAAACACTCTGGTTCTTCTATATATAAAAAAAAATTCTTCCACATACTTGGGGAATATTTCTAATACTTGTCTTTGTTACCTCATTCTAATTTTAAAGCCTTGGCTGAAGCTCTTGAGACATGTTGAAACAACCTGACATCACCCAAAAGGAAACCTGAAATATCATGGTACAAACTTAGCCTTGCAATGTCAGAAAGTTTGCAAGCAACAATATATGCCCCTGTTCTGAGGCAACCCTGTTTTAACATAAGTGCGTCCCAAAATCATGTTACTGTGTTCCAGTACAACCCCTTGAGAGAAATGGGCAATAGCGAGGGCCTCTATGGAAATGGTTGGGGGAAAAAAAAGTCAGAGAAAACGCGTGGTGACAGTGCAGGATCTTACTGCTCCTGCACACGTTTTGCAGGGATAGGCAGTGGTTTTTTTATTATATGGCTGTACAGTGCTTAGCACAGCTTTGAATCCTGCTAAGGGTTTTTGTATGTTTTGGGAATGTCAGTCAAAACTGTGCTACAATGGTTATTATAGTGCTTTGAGAATTTGGTTTGTTCCCACAGGTTTTATTTTTATCCACATTCCCCAGCTCTGTATCCGTGTGACTGTCACTGTCACTGTCCGTGCCAGGATTTGTCCTCACCGTGTTCTGGACTACGTTATTTTTGGATTCCGAGTATGACACTCACCTCTAATCACATGCAAATGTCTGCATCTGAGCTAGGCACCTTAGATTTTCTCCCTTGTCCATAGAGGTTGAGTCAATGTAGCTGAGTCGAGGGTACGACTCTTCTCATGCTGAAGCAGATGCCTGTGCTTGGTGAGATGAATACCTCCTTCAGCTCCAGTGGTTTTATTGACTGGATCCCCCTTGGCAGCCGTGCTATAGATACCTAAGGTTAGGAGAGATGAATCCTATCCTTAGCGACCTCTACCGTGCTGCTCTTTGAAGAGCCTTGTGGCTTAGGAAGACATCTATAAGGTGCAGTCCAGCCAGAAGTCATCTTTAGCTTGGACGCTACACCCCCAAATTATAAAATATAGGCTGATCGTAAGCAGCAGTGTGACACCAATGCTGGGAAGAACGGTGACCAGCTTTACAAAATGGCACAGAAATAGGGGAGACAGAGAAAAGCTGATGGGGAAGATGCTCTGGGGAGGGAAAAGTTGAGACACCTATTTTACAAAAGGGAAGGTGGGCAGATAGTATATGCTTACTGATGGCAAGCTCTGATCCTACAGCACTGTGTCAAATAAACAAGAGCATTTAGGGAACAGCTATCCTGAGTACCCCGTTAAGGAGCATGAACTTGAATTTACATTTCCACAGCATCAGTGGAGCTAACCCAGTGGTTTGCAGTCTTTCCTGCCTAACTCAGTCTGGGAATGACACCAAGTGGTCCCCTGGTGGAATGGCAAATAGATTATTCTGCTGTGGCTTCTTGTACCTGCTACATTTCTCATGTACCACCCTGAACATGGAGTGGTTTATGCTGCTGCACAAGAGCATGTTATGGAAACAGGTTGTCTAGAGGTGATGTGGTCTGTGTAAAATACTCAGCATCCTTCCAGTGATTTCTGGACTAGCACATCCCTAGGTGGCACATCTGTACTTTCATAGCTGAGATGTCCTGGAGCTAGCTCCAGTTAGAGCTGGAATATCTGATCAGTCCTGTGCTGACATAGCAGCCTGGATCTAGAGAGCAGTACAGCAGTTTCACTAGTGACTCCGTTTCTCTGCAGGGAAAATTAGCTGTCCAGGCTGCTGTGCTGAGCTGTTAGGCTGTTTCCCAGTCCAAGAGCTATTTTGGTGGGCATTAAGACTGCGACCTTTGCACCAGGCTCTCTTGTACAATGCAGGTATGCTCTGTTGCCTGTTTCTGCACCAAACAGATCCATGATATAATAGGCAATGTGACAAATATTAACCCAACAGAGCTTATTTTTGTCTGTTGCTAGATAGCTGCACCCAGATTAGGACAATATGGAATAGATCTGGTGATGCTTAATGAGTCAAGAAGATCCAGGGCTGCTTGGGTAAATCAGCAAAGCAGATCTATAATGCAGAAAACAAACAGTTCAATAACGTTTGTACTTTTAAGATGAAAGCAAAGCCTCTTGGCTCAGGGAAATAACAACAGCTCAGACAAAGTAGCACTAGAAAGGTGATGAAACCACTGCACTAGCTTTACGCTATCTGGCATGGATGCTGCTGAGGAAATTGGTGCAGCAGCAAGAATTCTGCATGGGCTGCAACATGCTGCTGAGAAGCTATATAAAATCAGCACAATTTCATGCTTCAGCTAGATGAAACAGTTACAATCCAGAAAGTGGTATGCATGAAGCAGGTTCCTGCTCTTCAGGTGGGTTCATGGACTTTTCTAGACCGCCTCCAACCTTGGATGATGTCTTTTATCTTTTCCCAACATGTTTCAAAAATTTTTCTAATGGAGTGTGAGTTCCTGCCCACCAAATTAAAGTGTAGTGGCAAACATCTTGCTTGCCTTGGTTGTTTTTCCTGGACCCTTTAGAAATAATCCATGGAGTCCCTGGGGACTATAGACCACAGGCTAAAATTCATCACTTCATAATTCTCTTTCCTGGTGCCTTGAAGATTCCTGGGACTCATCATTCCTTTCAGCAGAAAAACGAGGGTGATGCATCCACAAATGCATTCATAGCTGATTTGAGACAGAAGGCATGTTTTTTAGGTCAGGACAGTGGGGTATGCATGGCAAAAAGAACCTGATAGAGAACAAAAGGGCTATGTGACATTTAGTGTACGACAATGAATTATTTCCTTCCTTTCTTTTTGCATTTGAAACTTTTCTTTGGGTGGTGAGGTGAGAGGTAAGTGAGTTTATAGGGTAGAAAGAACTGGCTAGACTTACTCTGCTGTGGCTAGTTCTATTTTTTTTATGTTGACTTGGGGTTAGGAACAGTCTCTGACTGTTTCTTTCTTCTTCAATTGTATTTTTAACTTTTGGCAAAGTCTCACAATTTTGAAGATGCTTATTTTTATAGATTTCAGAAAATAAAATAAATAAAACCAAGCTATTTTTATCTCTGTGCTTGTGTCATTCAAAGTCATAACTAGGACTTTCACTGGTCAAAACAGGACCCAACAGCTGTTTTTCTACAGCTGTGGAGAGCTTGGATAATACTTGACAGTGCTAAAGTTACAATATATTTTCCCCAAAGCCTTCTGTCTTTGCTTCCAGTAAGAGAAAATTCTTATTTATGGGAGAGCTGCCAAAAGATGAAACTCATGTTATAAGACTGCTTTTTTCCAAGTAAGTCCGTACCAGCAGCTGGCATTTCCTAGAGTGGAAGTCACTGCTCCCATGTAGGGGGAATTTATCCTGAGATACGCACACATCATTGTGGATGGGTATCCCGGCCCACTCTGGGCTGCCTCTGGCCGCAGGCAGTGCAGTACTGCTCCCCTCCCGCGTGGTGGGAGGCAGCAGGGCTCCCCTGTGCTCTGCATTCACATGTCAGGTATTACTAATCCCATGGCTCCTCTTCCGTCAGCTTCTGAAAACTCTCTAAAATGTTTCTATGGATGAGGAACTTCCCTGTGTTTCAGTGCCAGTAGTGGGAAGCTTTGTCTGATGATGTAGCGTGCTGCCACATGCCAGTCGTGGCTTTGCAAGCCAACCGTTGTTGGTGCATTTTGGAAGGCAAGAGCTGCTCCAGTTCTCCTTTCCCCACTTTCAGCTGGACTTACAGGGCAACAAAAAAGAGGATAAAGGCTGGAAGATGACAAAAGACAGCAGGATGGGACAGTGATGCTCTGTCAGGAGGGTCTTCTTCCCTTGGGACAGAATGATTTTGCATCGAGGCCTGAGAAGTTTTCTGGTATTTCTGGGTCTAAAAAGTCCAATAAAAATTTAAGTGGGAAAACATACCAGAGTCACCCTTATTTTCTGTATTTATAGCTCCAGTTCTCACAATACCCCGCAGACATTACTGTCTAACCATACAAGGTTGTGTCCTCAATAAGGATGTCTCTGTATTATGGAAATTTCCCTTGAATTTGGCATGACCAGGAGCTGAGCACCCACCAGTGTGTGCAGAGGGGGAGCAGGGCACAGTGACCCTTTGTCGTGGTTTAACCCGGCTGGCAACTCAGCACCATGCAGCCACTCACTCACTCCCCCCCTCCCTCAGTGGGATGGGGGAGAGAATCGGAAAGAAAGTAAAAGGTTAGAGCCGAGCGCTGAGATAAAGACAGTTTAATGAGAGAGAATAATAATAATAGTAATAATGAGAATGATAACAGATATACAGAATATACAAAACGAATGATGCACAATGCAATTGCTCACCACCCACCGACCGATGCCCAGCCCGTCCCGAGCCACGATCAGTCCCCGAGCCGCGAGCAGTCCCCGAGCAGCGAGCAGTCTCCCCGCGACCGACCAACCGACTAACTCCCCCCGAGCATGACGTTATATGGTATGGAATAGCTCTTTGGTCAGTTTGGGTTAGCTGTCCTGGCTGTGCTCCCTCCCAGCTTGTTATGCACCTGGCCGAGCAGGAGAAGCTCAAAAAGTCCTTGAGTAGTCTGAGCACTACTTGGCAACAACTAAAAACATCAGTGTGTTATCAACATTCTTCTGGTACTAAATCCAAAACACAGCACTATGCTAGCTGCTATGAAGAAAATTAACTCTATCCCAGCCGAAAGCAGGACACCCTTGGATGAACACCAGGCAGAACCAGTACAAGCATGTGGGGAGCCCCAAGAGAGCAGGACATGGTTGCCAGCCACCGCCGTCATCCTCCAAAAGGAGCTTAAAGGGAGGCAGTTGCGTACATGGGTGGGGAGCGAGAATTGGAGAGGGTGCCTGCTCACACGCCTGCAGCTTTGCTGCCTCCAGTACTAGAACAA